AACTGTGGCTAGTGTACTTATAATGCTGACCCTGAGTGTGCCAGGCAGGCAGTGTGACAGCTGTTTATTAGCCATAATGTGCAATTAATGTTGCATAACGAGCTGCTGAGACGACACAGCGACAAGGCTTAGTCGAAAATTTCACAGATTTGCCATATGACAGACCATTATAAATGGCTGGCAATCGCACACACTCTCGCACACACACACACACACAAAGGCAGTTAACAGGTTCACGTTGATAATAAAAATAGCATTGGGTCTTTGACACCAGCCGCCCCCTTAACTGAGCGCACCCGCCGACCCGCTGCACGCAGTCATAAAATCAAAGCAAATCACTTGTTATCCCATTTGGCTCAGTTTCACAGCCAACTTCACCCCCCCCTCCCCTTCTCATTCACCGTCGACCGGCTGCATGTCATTTGGCAGCTACTTAATTTCTGACTTGCAACCAACCCCCTTTTTGGTCGAGCCTCTGGGCTCTGGGTGCGCCGGATGAGCATATTGTGGGTGCTGCTCCGCTCCTGCTCCTGTTGTTGTGGTTGCTGCTGCTGGTGCTAATATTTGTGGCCTGCCGCAAGAAATTGCTTTTTCATGAACTTGACTCATTTATTATTTGCAACAGTTTCCTGCCGCCTGCCGCCTGCCCGCCTGCCTGCTCGTTTCTTCTTCTCTTATTATTGTTGTTGTTCTCACACCTTTTGTCTGTCTGTCTGACCTTTTGGTGGTGTTTCTTTTTTTTTTGTTTTTTTTTTTTTTGCTGCTTGTTGGTGTCAGTCGCAAGTGAAAATTAAAAGTCCAAACATGAAAATGCTTTTGTTCGCAGCATATGGCTGAAATTTTTGGAAAACCGGCTTTTGCTTTTGCCCTCAGCCCTGATTGCGTTCTGCTCCATTTGCCGAAAGAGCAAAAACCAACCCGGCCGGTATTCGGCAGCGGGGTGGGTTTTCTTTGGCGGCAAATTGAAGTATTTTGTGCCCTGAAATTGCATTTGCATGTGGCAAGTGCAGGAATTCCAAATGCATGCAACATTTGCAGAACGAAATTTCGGGAGAAAAAGAAACTTAAATTATGTTCATGGAGCAAATCGTGTTTTTGAGTATTTCAATACGTTTAAAGTTGGGCCCGCATTTTGTCTATAAAATATAAAATGTGCGTAAGTTTAAGATTTCGATTCGGTTTGAAAAGTAAATTTGAATACATTTCCAGTTGTTTTTCATTTAGATGCTTTTGATTCAGACAAAGTCCACATAGATTTCGATCAGTTATCATTTCTTATCGATAGCAATTCGACTCTAAAACTTTTGAATTTAAATGGACTTGAAATAAGGAATCTATTTCGATATCGAAAACCTATAGCTGAATAGAAATCTCGACTGATCTTCCCACACTTCAACCTCTTTTTTTATATGTTTTAAATATTTATGAACAAATCAGATTTTATAGTCTTTATATTTAGCTATTTTATAGCTCGTTCTTTTTGTCTCAATTTCATAATCCAATAAATCAAATCTTCTATTTATTGGAAGCCACAAAAAAAAAATGGCCCGCCCCTTGCAGGCACTCGCTCGCATCTGATAATTTATGCATAAGGGCGAAGCTTAAAAAATTACCGTCAAAACACAATTTAACGCGGCTAAAGGAGCGTCAATAAGGGGAAGCGAGAAAGAGAGAGAGGGAGGGTTGGGTAAAAAGAAAATAAAACAACATGCACACAGTGTCTGGCGCACAGACACACACACCCCACACACACACACACACAGAAACACACGTATATGTGTGTGCATAAAAAATAAATGTTTTGTTTAACCGACATTTTAACGCCTATTTGCGTGCCGTGCACGTCATGCACGTTATGCCAATTTAATGGGCACAGCGCCTACAGCTAGGCAATGACTTTTGGTTTTTACACGCAAGCCCACACAGAGAGCGAGAGAGAGAGGAAGAGGGAGATAGAGAGGTAGAAGAAGCAGCTGGATAAATAAATAAAGCGAGCAAAACATAAAAAGGCAAACGCCAAAGACATGCGAATGTGGCAAGCAAAATAAAAGAAGCGGCCAAAATTTAATTGTCGTAAACAAAGAGAGAAGGCGAGAGCGAGAGAGAGAGCGAGAGAGAGAGAGGGAGCCAGACAGTCAGACGTAGTCTTAAATTATTAAATTAAAAGTTAATGAATAGAGCGACGCATAAACACGTAAAAAGCATAAACAAGTCAAGGTCGCTGCCGTCGCAGTCGACGTCGCAGTCGCCCCCTGCTGCCGCACCCTCCACCCGCCGTGTGGCACATTAGCGTCCCTTGTGCAACATTGCGCGCATACTTAGTGGCACGCTGTCGATCCTGCTGCTGCTGCTGCTGCTGTCGTCCAATAGTTGTCGCTGTCTGTCGCTGATTGTTCCCCTCTCTCTCTCTTTCTCTTTCTCTCTCTCTCTCTCTGTCTCTCCCGCCATCCCCCTCTCTCGTGTCTGCCTCTTTGCTGGCCGACATATGACAAATACGCTGGGGACCATCAGCATTACAAGCAAAGTTACTTTGCACAAAAGTTGCCATTTTTCTTTGCCTTTTCTCGGCTTTGATTTTTACTGCTCTTCCCGCGGGCACATCGAAATTGTATACGACATGTGTCATGCCTTGAAAATGTCCTTGTTGCCGTTAGAAATATAGCCATATTCCTGATCAGCAATAGTCCTGTCTATATAGTCGTGTCTGTCCAACTGCCCCTCTGTCTGACTGTGTGTCTGTCTGTCGTTCTCTTTGCATACGAATTCAGGATCAAAGCACTATAGCATATAGCTGTCATAGAAATGATGCTACGATCGTTAATTTCTCGTAAAAACTAGTGTTCCTTTTATATTTAAAGTTATCCCGACTAAAACTGGGCACTTATAAGCTTTAGTCTGTTCCTGATATGTACCAGTATTATATCATTTAACTTTATGATGCTTCATATCTTTTGTAGCATTAGTTTTTGTATGAAGAGTTTATTTCGTTTTTCTAGATATCTTGACAAGCTTCAAAACGTTTCTTATATGTGCGCCAATTCGCATCACGCTGGAATAAATAGGATATTTAGCTGACTTAGGAACCAGACGGAGAAACTAGATCTTTGTAGGGATAGCAAATGGAGTCTATGCAGGGATACAAAAATTGAATCTATGTAGGGGTAGAATATCAAGTAGATGTACAAGAAGAAAAGCATACATTTATAAAATCCAAAAAAAAAAACCTTTATTTCCATATCCTTACTAAATTGAGCAAAAAAACGGAAAACATTATAAAATATAAACAAACCTAATATCGGTATTCCATATCAGCTCTACTTCTACGCGATAAAAATATAAGCCCGCTAAATCTGGCTAATCTGGCCATTTCTACAGCCCATATCAGCCACATGTCGTGTCTGCGAGGGTATTTAGGCTTCGGCTTATCCGTGATAGTTGTTTTTTTTTTCTCTACTTGGCTTTTGGCTGTTTATGTTGTTTTTGTTGTTGTCTGTTTCGCTCGTCTTGGCCATTAGTTGTGGCCGCTGGCGCTGACTGGCAGCGCGACGCGGTGACAGCTCAAGATTGCCACGGATGGCTGGCTGGCAGCGTTTATAAATACGCGACACGGCAACGTCGAGGCGATGCTGGCGAACCGGCGCACGGTTAAGTTGTCAACCCGCCGCGTGATGTGGATTCGCCAGCGGATTGTGTCGCTGTCTTTGTTATGCACGGCGGAAAAATCGTTTCCATGTCACAAGTCATTCACTCAGCAAAGCTTTATTTAGCTAGATTTTCCTTCCTTTTTTTGTTTTTTGATGTATATTTTCTGAGAAACTCTTTGGTTGAAGCTGCGGCACATCAAACAAGCTGCAGTCGCTTCTGTCCCCTAAAAGCAGGCAACACTTTTTGTAAAGTAATTTGCCGCTGTGTGTGTGCGTGTGCGCGTGTGTGCGAATGTGTGTGTGCTGCTTGTAAATGTCAAAACCTCAACATGTCTACACAGCAGCCTGTTTGTCCTGCCACTTGGTTCTTATGCATATATGGAAATGCCAATTTCAAACAACCCACACATCCGACATGGGCCTCGGACCGCCTCCTATACCTGCCCTCAGCCCTAACCCTATCCCTAGCCCCTCATTTGGCCAAGGCAATACCTGCCGATAAGACAAAAGCGAATGCGGCTGACCAAAGATGCGTTGGGGCTGTGGCAGCTGCTGCCAAATTGTTGCCTTGTCTGTGACTGCGACTATAAAGAATTTACATATGGAATTTATGCGCGTGTGTGTGCGAGTGTGCGAGTGTGCAACTTTGTGTGTGCGCCGAGACATGTTTTGACTGTCACGACGGTAATTGATCTCGATTAAGGCCATGTACGAGAAGTCGCTTAACAAGCAGACAACACATGTACACACACACACACACACACATGCACGCACACACACACACACGCTTACACACATTGAGCCCACTTGGCCACGGTCTTAAGGCTTTGACTGGAATCAGCTTTAATTAAGCTGCAATCAAGGCAAAATCGCTTTATTTAAACCAAAAATTAAATAAGAAATTCGCTTTAGTTTTATTTATGCACTTCGGCATATATAGAACACATCTAAATCGGATGTATACCCCAATTGTATAATTAGCTACTTGAACTAAAAATCTAAGCTTCAAATCAAGTCTTACAATATTTCCGGTATGCTCAGACCCTGAGACCCTGTTTCAATAAAACAAAACAGTTTTCCCACTTACAGTTTAAAACTGCCTTGGGTGTACAGTTTGAGAGTCACTTGTGGCATAATCAAAATCAGTAATAGCTGCTGTAAAAGTAGTTTAGAAACGCATCAAACTGTGTTGCTTAGTATGCGGCTTTCAAACTGTGACTTAAGGTACTGTTAAAACTGTAAAACTGTAAAATATAATATTACTTTTTATGTGGCTTTCAAACTGTGACCTCAGCATTTTCTGCCCGCAACAAATTCGACACATTACTCAAAGACCTGTGCTGCTTTTCATTTCAGGTCTGGTTCCAGAACCGTCGCGCCAAGTGGAAGAAGCGCAAGAAGACCACAAATGTGTTCCGCACACCGGGCGCCCTGCTGCCCTCGCACGGCCTGCCCCCATTTGGGGCAAACATCACGAACATTGCGATGGGCGACGGACTCTGCGGCACAGGAATGTTCGGCGGCGATCGCTGGAGCGTGGGCGTCAATCCCATGACGGCAGGTGAGTGCACAAATGAACTAACCAAAAAGGAAACATCTAACTATATCCTGTCCAACAACAACTATCTTTACGCTTTGCGGCTGGCCCCTGAACAGGCTTCGGTCAGCTAAATCAAACCTCGCCGCTTTCGTCCACGCTGAATAGCGGCCTCAATTCGGGCATTAACATGGGCTCCGCCCTGGGTGCCGGCACCTATCAGCACTATGGCCTGAATGCTTTGGGTAGGTGCGCCCCACACAACAACCACAACAACCACAACAGCCACAACACACCACCCCAAGACTACCCCTAATTAAAATCACATGAAAAAAAAACTTTCCATTTGCGTTGACATTTTTTTTTTTTTTGTATATATATATATTTCATTTTACCCCCCTCCGCAACGATTGCTGCTTTATTTATTTAGCTCTCGATACAATCCAGTTCGGCTGACAATTGCCGAAACACGACAACGTTTTCATTTCTTTGAACTCATAACACTTTTTTTCGGTAGCAGGCAGTAAGAAAAATAACACACATAAATAAAAGCAGAAACATACGAATAATTTATAGAGCTCTCTGGCTATTTCGCTTCGGATTTTTGTGTATTTGCTCGCCCAATTAACAGGCAGTCGTTTAATTTTCAGGAATGCCCCAAAGGCATTCTGTGCGACACGTCTCCGTCTCCGACTTTGAGTTTTATTTGATTTCGTATAGTTGTGTTAATTGATATTTTGGAGACAGGTTTTTTATTTTTTTTTTATTTTTCCTTCTTTCAAAGTTTTCATTGTTACACTTTATTTTATTTCGTTATTATTTTTGGAAGGTTTTTTTTTTTAAACTCTGAACTGCAGTTGCGTTTGTTTAATCGTTCTCTCTCTCTCTAGGCGACTCGATGATGTATCAGCACAGTGTAGGCGGGGGGGTAAGCTGCGGACCGGGCGGCTCCCCGAGCGCCACCACGCCGCCCAACATGAACAGCTGCTCATCGGTGACGCCGCCGCCGCTCTCCGCACAGCCCACACAGAGCGAGCTCAATGGCGAGCCTATGGTAAGTGCTGCAGCCGAGACACAAACCCAACTGTTAACATAACACTGCTATTGCAGACGCACCACCAACAACAGCAGCAGCAGCAGCAACAACAGCAAGCACACCAACCCCAGCAGCAACAACAAGCTCACCAACAAACCCTAACGCACCAGCAACAGTCAGCAACACCAACACAGCAGCAGCAGCAACAGCAGCAGCAGCAGCAGCAACAACAACAGCAGCAGCAACAACATCAACAGCAACAACAACAGCAGCAGCAACAGGATAGCGGCAATTTGCTGCCGCACTGTCACCAGGCCATGCAGTCGCCAGATGGCGCCACCGACGAAGATGTCTGGCGGGGACACAGCATTGCAGCGCTGCGGCGGCGAGCATCCGAACTAAACGCAACAGCAATTCCTTCCTATTTGCATCATGCCGCCGCCGCACACAACAATTACGAGCACCACAATTCGGTCTACTGAAATTTGTTGAAAAGCTTTGAAAGCTTTTCGGATTACGGTTTTTCCAATTGCGGCACTCACGAGTTCTAAAACAGTTTGACAGCCACAGGGCGCAGCAACAAGTTTTAGTTTTAACTTTAACATATTGTACAATTTATCAGTTAACATTAGTTTTTCTTCGTTTTTTTTCTTCTTTTACACAAATATTTTTTTAACTCAAAAAAAAAAGACTATAATGAATGTAAACCAAGTATACGAGAGCGGAACTTGAGCTAAATTTTGTGGCATTAACTAGCGCAACTAAAACCCTATACGAGCCCATAAATGTATTAAAATTACGCGTAAAACATAAAAAAAAAAAACAAAAACATAAAGAAAGTAGTTCTGCCCGAACTCAACGAATTAATTCTTTAGCAATTAGTAAACAATTATAACATAAATATTCAAGCAGAAGATAAAGCAGAAAAAATCACACACAACGTATACGAATTGATAAAAGTCAAGGAAAAGAAAAAACAAATAAGAAGAAGAAAAAGAATTGTATAAAACAAACATTTTTGCATAGCGCTCAGAGTTGCCTATAGAAGAACATTAAGGCTCACAATAATTTTTGGTATGCTTCCGAGCAGCTTAAATCTTGATATATATACACAACTATACATATACACATATATATATATATATATATATCTTATCTAGTTATTATGTAAACGTAAGCTTAGTAGATGTAAACTTAAGTGTTGTTGTTTTTGTGTATAGCTCTTCTCTGTTTAGTTCTTTTGCCTATACTCGCTCCTACATATAGAGTACTTGCTTATATACATACATGCATGCATGCATGCACACATGCATACATGCGCACATGCAAGCATGCATACATGCAAACATATATTGTTTAAATGGAAATAAACTATGAAAGAAATACATAAACAAATCATATAGCTAAATGTATCAGCCACAAACCGTACAGTTTTAAATGCACAATTAATTAATGAATTAGATGAGACATCAAATGGATTAATTTGAATACGTAATATGCTCGCGAAACACACCCGAGTCCATACATATAGATACACGCATTAAACACAATTATGGCATATACTTGTAATAGACTCTCTTCTAATGTTTAAGCCTAAATTTAAACAGCAAACGCAAATGAAAAACTACAAAAAAAAAAAACAAAAAACCAAAAAAAAAAAAGAATAAAAACTATATATATATATATTATGTAAAACACGAAAATGAATATGTATGTAATTATGCGTATTATTAAATAGTAAACTAAATTAAATATGAATTGAACGTGATTTAAATAACAGTAAATTGAAAAACTATGCATTAATAAAAACTGATTTCAGTGTAAATGTTATGCGATTTGCGATTTAGCTTAACTTTTAATTATAAGCAGCTGGCAAGAGGGGCGAGGGGCATCTAGCGGGGAGCACATATATAGCTTACATTAATACGCTGCGAATGCAATTTAATGCCAAGCCAATTAGCTAAAGGCTGCCACAGGGTTCGAGAGCTGCGCATTGAACCCTCGCTTGCATAGGTGGCAGTTGCAACAAAAGCAATTACAATAATTGCATGTTGCAGCACAGCTTTTGGCTGGCTAATAAAAACGCCAAAACGCATTTGCCACAAACAACTTTAAGCTCAAATTGCCAAATTGATAAAACTTTGACAGCACACACACACACACACACACACACACACACACACGTACGCACACAGGTGGACCAAATCTCTCTGGCTATTGACTGCTTGCCCCATTATTGGGGTCAGCTGCAGAGACGGCAACAGCAGTGTCCACTGCGTGTTTACGGCCTGCCTGTGGTTGCATCCAGCATACCTTATCCATGGTCACAAGTAAAACAGGGTATATCGATTTTAGGTGCTCGGTATTTATCTATATATCTACTTATTGTACCTTTGCCACAGCCTCAGCTAGAATCCATATTTACCCAAAGATCTTTTCGTAGCCCTACACATTCAATGACTTCTTCCTTGTAAATACTAAATTTTAAAACTGCTGCTGTATTTGAACCAGCGACTTCATGCTTGCCAGTCTAACGCTCACAGAACTAAACCACGCAGCCTTCATGTGACCCAAGCTCGTTTAAAAAGTTGCCTTAAACTGATTTTATTTACAACTTTTAGAACGACTTACTCAAACTTTATTAAGGGTACTCTGTTTACAGGGCATCTGCGACTCGTCCATGCTTTGGCTACAACAATATTTCCGCTTGTTATTGGTAGTTTGTAGCATATGCATACACGTGGCTTATAAATATTATAACGACTGCAGCTGTGACATTTGACATGCACATTGTCACGACAATTGGCCAGACTTAATCACACTGATGGCACTTTTATGCGATGTGGCAGCAACTGCGTGCAACAACAGCAATTCAATAATAATAAAAAAAAAATATATATATAAGAGAAACTACAAAAAGTGGTCTTTAGTGTGTGGCCTTTATATTCGGATGTGGAACGTGGAGAGAAAGTCGGGGGCGCGCAGTATGACATGCTCGAACTCCAATATGGATAGCTTCCCATCGCCATCGACGTCCGCTTCCTCGATTACCTTGTCGGCAATCTGTTGGTGCTCCTCCGGACTTAGCTCGTTTTTGGTCATTGTTGTCAGGCAGGACATCAGGTCGGCGTGCCCAATGAAGCCGTCTTGATCGAAATCTGCAATGTCATGTCCAGACATGCATAAGTACTACGAGCACATGTGTCTCTCTCTCTCTCTCTCTCTCTCTGTGCATGTGTGTGTGTTTGAATCTGTGTGTGTGTGCGCGTGTCGTATTAACACAGTTGACATTTTCATGCATAAAAGTCAACTGATGTGTGCAAAACTAAGTTACGAGCCCATATTCCAATATTCCCATGCAGTTACATATGCATATCTCTGTACATATATGCATATCCATATCTGTCTGTGTGTGTGTGTGTGTTGCATAATCGCATGTGCTGGCTGTCAGCGTTGCATGCTTCAATTTGTGTCAATCTAATAAGCACTTGGCGACAAGACTAGTCGGCGGCAGTCACTAGTCAGCCAACGCCAGTTGTGCTCTGTTTTCTAAATATTTTCATAGAATTGCAAACGAGCCAAGGCAAATGCTGCTAAGCCTGGCTTCGATAAGCCAAGGGTTTTCCCAGGCTTATCCATGCATGCAAATGCATACAAATACAACAAATAATGTGCCTTGAAATCGAATCAAATGACACAATCAACTCTTAATATGTGCTGGTGTGTGACAGAAATTGAGCTGCATTTTAATTGCACTCGAAACTGAAACCAATTCTCAATTTCTCATAGCTTAAATTACAACAAAAACTTAAAGATTTATATAAAGAATGTGCGTTTCCCCTCGATTTAACTCTACATTAAAACTGCACTAAATTCTGGCAAACAATTATATGTGAGATCGCATTACATGAGGACATGTGAGGTCCTAAAGCATGTATCCAAATCTTAAACTATCTTAATTTAGTTGAAGCTAAACCTAGTTTGTTGAGAAATTGTATTTACTTACAATTAGCTTAATGCTATATTTAAATCTAAAAGCCAGCTTTGTGTCCACAATTCAAGTCAAAATGTTTACCCAGAATTCCAAATAGGAATTGAGTCCAAATTCAAGCCAGCTTAACTAGCAAAACTTAAACTATGCTATATATATGTAGTTTTTGGTCTTAGCTCGAACTCTAATTTAATTCTAATTCTCTTGAAAGAGAACATCTTCTGTTGAATTTGTTTAAAATGTACCCTAAAATATTCACAATGTGTATGCATTCTGAACAAACCTCGTCAAAACTCTAGCATTTTTTATAAGGAACGACTCTGCGGTTGATTGAACTTTTAAATATTGAAAACTTCTGATTCTTATGAGAAACCACTTTTTGCGCTTGACTTAGTCTCTTCTTTGATTTTACATGCAAAAATTGTTGCTATAATTTTTTACATGCAAGCGGGTGCATACTTTCAACTATTTTGGTCTTGAATTAACCTCTAGATTGTTAGATTACAGCTTAGGATTTTCAACTAACGAATTTTACGAGCCGCCTTTATATGTATTACGTCAAAAGAATTGTCCTGAAGACGTTTGCGAAGGCGCAACCGAAATATAGCGAAGAAATGTATTTTCAAACAGAATTGTTATTCATTTTTGATTAAATTAATTAAGTCCCGGTCGTCCAGCCAGCTAAATATTTAAAACAAAAAACTAAATATTGTTGCCAAATTTTGCAAACTTTCAACAAACACAAATTGGTCAAAACTGAAAAAGACTATTATGAGAAATGTGTCCATATTCTCTCCAACTCCAAACTGAAATATGTTTCATATGGAAAGACTCCTTCCTTGGCTTGCATATGAATATAACATGTGCTTCAAAATGTTATTTCTTTTCTTTTAAATGAAACTGTGTATCACAAATGAATTCAATTTATCAAACTATCAGAGAGCTTCCCCAAAGTCACAAAAATTATACATAAAATTGATTTGTATGCTGTGTTGTTTTATGCAATCATTCGATTTGTTGGCCTGCTTTGAGCTCTGTTGTTTCAAGTCCCAATTCAATTTGCACGCATATGAAAAACTAATATATGCATTTAGTTGATGTTTCGTTTAGCAAAGTGCACACTCAATTGCCGGTCAGTTCATTTGCGTGGCTTTGGTGTCGTAAATCCACAAAGTTGTAAAATCAATTGCCAACTAGATGCCAGAAAACGCGACAAATTTTTCTCCAGTTTCTAATTTAAATTTCAATTAAAATGCTTATTAGAATTTATGACTGGCCTTGAACTGTGCCCCAGCAACAACAAGAAGCTGGCTGCAGACCGAGTTTTGGACCTGGGCCACGAATAACTGAGGCGCGACTAGGCAAATGGCATTGCGTTCCATGTAAATGCCAAAGAGACAAAAGCAGTACCAGCCAGCGAATGCACAGAACAGAACCCGCAAATGTTGGCCAACAACACGGCCAAAAGCGTGCACCACAACAACAACAACCACAAGACGTACAACATGAACTTGAACAAGTAAAAGTGTGCCAGACGGATGAGCTCGACTAGCAGTTACCCGAAGCACTGCCAGTTACTCGACCAGCTGCTGTGCCTAACATTCCAGCTTCCTTTTGTATGTACACATGCAATGCAGTCTTGACTAACTGCGGTGCTTATGGTCCGATGCTTATGAAAATTTCTCGCCTCATATGTGGCATATAAATTTATGTGAATGCCAACGCACAAGACTCTGCCTTTATATTTGTCGATAAGAAGTATCGACCAAGAAGCAGTTTGAAGGATTCACACAGGCGAACATGCAGACGAACTTGACTTTAACGATCGACTCAGCTCGATCTGATCAGGATTATATATACTTTAGCATTTCAGATATGTCCTCTTGGTACGAGTTATCGATCAAGAAGAAGAGCGAGGTGAACGCACTTAATTGGAAGATCAACTCAGCTCATCGTTCAGACCAAGAAATATATATAGTTTAGCGTCTCGGATTTGGTCCCTACTTTACTCTATTATATTTACAGGGTATACAAAGAACTTACCATAAATTTTGAATGCGTAGAAAACTTTAATATCTCTGGGCGCCTGCTCGCTAAACACGGATAAAGCATCCAAGAAGTCCTCAAAGGATAAATTACCCAGGCCATCGCGTGAGAATGCTTCGCCTGGTCAGTGCCAAATGGGCGTGGCAGTGGGGCGTATACCAAAAAAAGAAAAAAATAAATAAAAACATAAATAAAATAAAGTAAAACGAAATTCTTTTGCTTATGAATGCGGCATTGTGGCAGCTGTAGTCGTTGTTGTACTTACAGATACGTCGCCGAAAGGGATTCTCACGCAACTCGGGCATCTTCTCAATGCATTCGCGTGGAACCTTGACACTTGAGGCCTGACCCTCGGTCATTTGGCGTGGCACCAAATCCGGACGCAGCTCACGAAAGCGTTTATGCACGCTGCGTCCAGGGAAGGCGGGCGAAAAGGGATGAGAGCAAACGCTTGATGAAAGGCTTTGTTGTGTGTGTGTGCACGACAGTGTGTGTGTGTGTGTGTACAGCTGTGTGTGTGTATTTTTGCTGAGTGCCCTTAACAAAAGATTGTGCCAAACAATGGCGCCAGCTTCGTGTTTAAACGGAAAATAGTTTCCGCTTATTATATTAACACAACAGGAATTACGTATACGCCCCGTGGTGGCCATCAAATACAAACCGCAGAATCTCCTTGCGTGTGAAAAACGTGCAATCCTTTTTAAAGAGAGCGAGAAAGGGAGAGCGAGAGAGAGAGAGAAAATTGATTGGGGTACTTTTAAAGCTGGCAATTCGCATGGGCAACGCACCTGATAGTCATCCAATTGCTGTTCGGTGAATGTCACAATTTTGTTGCCCATCGCTTATCCAATTGTGTTTGTTTATGCACAGCTTCTGGCCAAACGGCTGCCAACTGCTGCCTTCTGCAAACGCTGCTGCTGCGCGACTGGCAAAACACAGCGCGAACTCCAACTTTGCATAGAACAACCTGAATCAGGATCAGGCGGGCACGGATACGAGTACGGGCACGGGCACGGGCACGGGCACAGACCCAGCCCAGACCCAGTCCTGGCCCAGCCCCTGACTGACACATCCTGCGGCGCCTTTTGCAGCGACAGCGTATGGCTCCAGCTTGTCCTGGCCGCATTCGCATGGAAATTAATTAAGGAGTGTTCACGTTGTGCCATATTTCCTTTCTTTTTTTTTTGTCTTGCTGTTGTTTCTGTTTCGCCATCGCGCGCGTTCGCTCACCTCTGCCCTGGCCAGGCCATGCCTCGCCTCGCCTGTGGTTTGTTTGACAGCGAAAAGGCAGCGGCAAAAACGTTTACGCGAGGCGCGCCACACGGCTAAAAAATCCAGAGAGAACAGTTTAGCCTTACAGTGCCGAATATTAGATACCCTTTAAAGTAGTAGCAGCCAAAATAAACACTCAACTTTAATGCGTTTCTTCAAATGAAGTTATCATATGGCATAAAGGTCTTCTTTTTATTGAGTTGTTTCTTTTATTTTGGAACATAGCTAAGCCGAGCTTGATTAAGATATCTGCATCTTCAGCACGCCGAAGTTTTAATACTCTTATCGATATATCGTACGACTTATGGGCTTGCAGATATGTGAGGAGTCTGGCAAAATCAAAATATTCCACAAAGACTTTTCCTAACAAAAACTCATTATAATCAAAAATAAATATTGCTCAAACAAACGCTAAGTTTTCGATCGATCGTTCCCATAACAGCTATGTGATATAGTTAAATAATCCGATCAATTAAGACTCAGGCATTGTGTGCAGCAGAAATCGAATCTAAGTTTTATCAATTTATATTTTCACAACTAAGCGGCTTATTGGCACAGCGACAGACCGACAGACATGTCAATAACGACTCGGCTCTTGCTACAGGATTGTTAGAATTATAAATACCTTATGTAGTCAAAGACATGTCCTACTAAGCGTCACACAGCACATGTCATAATTAAAATATCCTTTGCCAGGGTAAATCAAAAGCCGCAACGCTTGGCAGCAAAAAAATGTAGCACAGTTTTTTGCGCTGCGAATTCGATGCGCGCGTTTTTAGCTGGGCGTCGAGACTTTATTTAATTAATTTAATGCTCGGCAAAACCTTTTCAATTTCGCGTGTATGCTTTATAAATTTATGAAAGTGACTATCGGGCTTCGGGTCCAGATCGAGCACGCTCAGCTTGGTCAGAAACTGACGGCCCCGCACGGCCACCAGCCAGGGCTGCAAAGCGCTGCAAAAGTTAACGCTAATTAGCTGCACACGTGTGTGTGTGTGTGTGTGTGTGTCTCGCTTACCTGTTGTGCTTGGCCGGGCAGCATATCTCCTGAAACGTCAGCATTATGGAGCAGTCAAGTGCCGTGGCGCCCAGCATGTACGCCTGCTCGGCGGCCAGCTCATCCACATTATCCCACTGCCGACAGCTGAGCAGCTGTCGCAGCGCGTCGTAGCTGGGCGTGGCATGGCCAGCATATCCCCTTTGCCACATATAATGAAAATGCCGCTGTAATTGCCAAAAGAAAACGTTTGCGAGAGTTAAGCGACAGTCAAACAGACAGGCCGCCAAATCTTCTAGCTGTGCCAAAAGTGCCAGCCACTTGGCCGGCGTCCAAGTGAGCGTCCAGCTCCAAATCCCACTGCACCACGGACGACGAGTGTCCGGTCTCCACTGTCCCCTGTCCCGGGTCCACTGTCCGTTCGCCGTTTAGCTGCCCTTTCAATTTCTGCTTTTAGCACGAGGCACTCGCCTGAAGCATTGTTGAAACATCAACCAGGTGAAGCTCAATGTAGTTGCCTTTGTGCAACTGCTGCTCTTGAGCAGCAGAAACAGACTGAGAAAAAAAGGTCAGCAAATGCTGTTTGACTAGCTGATACCCTGTAGAAAAGCTATGACAGCAGGCAAGACTTTGAAAGGAAAGTAAGAAACGTATCGCTTGGGAGATACATTTGCGAAAACATGAACGTATTCCACATTTAAATCTAATAGCTCGCTGCCAAGATAAAGCCTTGCCAATTGCCAGTCGCTGCCTGGAAAGAACACCTCATAGTATTTACAGGGTATATAAAAAGCTATTCGGACAGACCAAACAGAGAGTATGCTATGCTAATTTAGAAAACGTTGCCTGTTAACCGACCCACATTGCCCATCAATTCGGTTAGGGTATAAAATTGGGTGAAATCCGAAATAAAAATAAACACAACTGATGATAGCCAATGGCAATAAAAATTTCTTTTGCTTTTGCTTCTTGTTCTTGGTCTGGTTGCAACTTACCTTTACCAGCAATTGCAAATGCAAAATTTTTTGCAGCACACAATTTTTTGGTAAGTGAAATACTTCCGCTTTGTTGATCTGTGCTTGAGTCTCATTCGGATGCGAATGCGGAGTCGAAGCTGGAGTCGCCGTCGCCGTTGCCGTTGCTAGTATTTCCGTTTCCATTTCCGTGCGAGCTGCTGCCATTGCCACATTCGTTGACAACCAGGTTGGGGCAATTGTTGTCCTTTCGGTTGTTGTTTCGCTTGTTGTTGTTGCTATTTTGCAACGCTTTGTGTACCTTTGGCTCGTGTTTTCAGCAGCTGCTGCTCTCGCGCCGCCGTGTCGCTGCGGCTGACCAGCAACAGCTTTGACAAACTCATCCCCCAGCTGCGCCTTCTTTTGCGACTCCTCCTCCTCCTGCTGTTCGACTACCTCCTTCTGCTGGTACTTCTGTTTCACCTGCCCAGCAGCATCAACATTAGCCACGCCAATTTCTGTAGTTTCTGTAGCTTTTGTCTTCGTGCCACAACGTTTGAATGTCGATTCCCCGAATGCAGCAGCGCCTGCCACGTGGCTGTGGCTGCCACACGGACTCTGGGCATCCTCGCTGTTATTGTATTCCCTGAGCAGGCAGGCGACCAGCAAATGTTTTATAAGCGCCATAATTTCACTGGAGAATTTCACAGATTTTATGACCATGGCGTTGGCATTGGGCAGGGCAATGGGATTGGTTGGGGATTCGGATTGGGTTTGGGTATGGATTGGCGTTGGCGTTGGCGTTGGCATTGGTGAGTTTTCCAAAAATTCGTTTGTAAGCATTTTCAATGCACATTCCAATTTTGTTGTGGTTTTTGTTGTTGTTGTCGTCGTTGTCAACGTTGTGCCAAGGTGTTGAAATGAGTGAACAAAACATAAAAGCAATGCCAAGAGTTTGGCAACAAGAAAAAGTAGAAATGAAAATAAAAATCAACAAGAGTTGGGGAAATAAATGGCAATGTTAGCGGTTGGCGCTCGAGAATTTGTGTTTGGCTGTTGCTTGCATTATTTATTGAATATTTGCGTGTTGAGCAATTGCTTCCAGATTTTTACTTCTCTTTTTATTTGCAGCTATTTCGTAATTGTATAGCTGTGATAGAAATTTTATGTTGCGCATTGCATAAACATATTCGCTTACAATAAATTTGCAGCGCAAGCTGCATTGCATTCAAATATTTAATGAAATATTTTATTAAGTATTTGTATAGTATTTAATACAAATAAAAGTTAAGTCCTGCTTTAAATTCAATAACAATAATTATTTGCTGGATTTGCTCCTTTTTATTTTTAATATTTTAACATTTGTTGCGCTGTTACATTTACATTAACAGCAGCTGCATAACAGCTTATTTAAATTGCATTGCTTAAACACGCTGCTAATAACAGCTATGCTTAATTAACAGCAATAATACATTCAATCAACTGTTAACAGTCATCTACGGCAGCTAGCTTAATTAACAGCTGCTTAACATTGTTATCAATGTTAAGAGCTGCAGCGCTTTCAACTGGAGTAAAAGATTTTATTTCTATCCCATATTCAACTAAGTACAATAACAGCTGTTAACAGCTATGCTTAATTGACAGCTGCTTAACATTTCCCTGACTGTTAGCACTCAATTAGGTTTAAACGAGATTTATTTGCAAAGCGATTCTGCATATTCCAGACAGATATTCAAGGAAGTACAACATAAGAAAAACACAAAATATTTGAATTTGCAGGAATGATCAGCATTTAGCTGATAAACCCAGATAGCAAGACAAATATATTTGCCCGCTGTTAATATTGATAAAAATGCAAACAATTTGCGCTTACCCTGGAAAAACTCGAGTATGCAGCTCCTCGCAGGAAATCGAATTCGCGTGATCGCCATAAATTAAATTGCCGCTCTGAAATACACGTAAATTATTTTGCGGACAAGCGAAAAGTGCATTCAAGGCATCGAGCATACGACCGGGTTGGCTAAAAAAATAAAATAAAACACAAAGAGCAAGAAAAATATATACGTCTATATAAGAAATAACACTATTAAAACATAAATATATGTATATAAATGGATGAAATAAATGCTGGCTGAAAAAGAGGCGAGCCGAAACAATTTTTTTCGGGTTTGTATTGAGCGGCAGCAGCGGCAAAGCCAAGTACGTAAAAAGCCGAAACGAAAAGAAATAAAACGCATTGAAAGTGGACGCGAAGCAGGCGGTAAACCGGAATGAAAGCGCAAGCAAATTGAATTTCGTGCACGGATGCACGCATGACTTAAAACAGCGGGCCACAAATAAACGAATGAGCCGCGGGATTCCACACACCCAAAAAATACCAAAAAAAAAAACACACAAAAAAGACAGAGCCATACAGGCAGGCCATGTTCTATAAAGGTTCGAACCGGAAACAGGGTAAGGCAAAAAGTGCCATCCCGAAGGGCCCGCAGGTGGAACAAGCCGCAGGAGCAGCAGCAAGAGCAGCAGCAAGAGCAGCAGCAGTTGAAAGTGTTGGAATTATGAAGCACGACAGGACACGCAAATGGAGCAGATTAAAATTTATGACTTAAAGGCGTGTGGCAAACAGAAACCCAAGCCCAAACCTGAACCCAAACCCATACCCAGTCCCAACTTACCCGGAGAAGAGCTGCAATGGACAATAGTTGCCCAATCGTTTGATTTTGCCCGTCTGCAACTGCGAGGGGGAGGCAAGAGAAATTGAGAATGTTTGTAAATCAAATAACAAGTAGTTGGCTCCACACACACACACACACACTCGCATACACACTCGCATACACACTCACCTTTACGAGCTGCATGCTGCAATAGCGACACCTGCATTTGTCTGGATTTAACATCGAGTGAACTGTTGGCCGCACCTTAGCCGGTTCAGAGGTTGTGTCCATTGTGCCGTCGCCAGTTGGCATTAAATCAAATAAATCGCTGACATCACTTGGCAACTGGAGCCAGCCCTGTTTCGGTTTTATTTCGATCGCATATGTATCGCCCAGGCGGCTGATTCCAGAGCTCCGGCTGCTCTGGTTGCTGCTGCAGATGTCCGCATCCATGTCCGTGTCCATGTTCATGTCCTTCGCCTACAAATTATTTCGTTTGGTTTATTTTGCTGTTTTTTTTTTTCTGTCTTTCTTTTTTACTGTGCTGGTGCTGCTGCCTCTCCTGCATGGCAAATGGAGTTGAATGCGGGGCCAACTTTTGCCAGCGTTGACGCCATTTTGACTTGAAAATGCCAACGACTAGCGAAGTGGAGTTGGGAACGACACAAAAAAAAAACAGCAAAAAAAAACAAAAAAAAAAAAGCAAGAAAATATGCGGCAATCGGGAGTAAGCAACTGAAAGATACCCTGTAATCAACGTTTCTTCTACTATACACAGGTGTAATTAACTAATGGCGATAGATATAGGAAAACTGATATATTCTGCTTCCGTAAATGCCTTGCGAGAGTCTACATACTAAATTTGGTGTCTGTAGCTCTTATAGTTCTCGAGTTATGCTCAGAAAACAAAGCTACCAATATCAATTGTTATCGATACCTTGGAAACGGTTAAATTTATCGATAACTGAGTGAAAATTTGATCCGCGTGTGCCAAAGCAGGAGCTACATCCAAAATTTCAAATGATTAGCTATTATAGTTCTCAAGCTCAACTCGGCTTTTTGAGCTCATGGAGAATATTTGAACTGAGAAAATCTCCGACTGTCTGTTACCTCAAACAATATACCCATTTTGAGCAGCTGGAGCAAAACAGCCGGCAGCCAGGCTATCGCTGCCAGCCTGAACATGAACTGTAACTGCCTGCTATTGTCCTGGTTGTCCTGGTTATACTCCTTCTTGTTGTTGTTGTTGCTGATGCAACATAAAAACAAAAGTTGTTGCTTGGCGCGCTGATTGTATGATGAGTTATGGCACAGGTAAAAATATGCCAACGGTCATTCCTGCAGCCATGTCCATACGCGCGGCTCAACTTGAAATTGAAAATTAACATTTAAAGCCAAAATTAAAAGCGGCACTTTTCCCGCTGGCCTCACTCTGCCAGCTGCTGCTGCCGCTGCTGACCATAGGCTGCTCGGAGTCCTCTGCACATCCTGTGCGGCGCACAATATGGCGTTAGTTATGGCGCCGTAACTATTGTTTTTTTTCGTTACTTCTTGCAATTTTATTTCGGTCAATGCTTTGGCAGCAAAGCCATAAATTGAATATATAACCATCGTGTACAGCGTGTGGCTGCAATGAGCGCCTAGCTCGACCCCAGAGATATCCTGTGCGTGTTGCCGTGCATCAATCGAAACAATAATAACAAGCACTGGCGCCATCTAGCGCCAGTCAGTTGCGCATCAGTTGCATAAACCAACGCTAGATGTCGCCAACTTTTATTTCATTTTTGAATTTAAAAACATTTCAGCACAATTTGGAAACTTTTAAATGGGCATATTTTAAATTCCACGCATACTTAAATAGGCATCTAACTAGATCTTCATTTTGATTCGATCTATTCATATTAAAATACATATGTCCCTGTTTTCAAAAGCTCTACACAAAAACCCAGAAATGTACGCCATTTAATAATTTTTGACCATACACCCGTAACTGTGGAATATGGGCGGAAATAGTGTTTGTTGACTTTTTCACATTTTCGTTGTTCCTTCCGAACGGACGGAAGCAAAGTATTTGACCCGTGCAAAGCTGGATAATACCCACTAATAAATGAATACACACAATTTGTAGCACAGCGAATCTAGCCATTTCTAGCGCTTACAGGGTATGTTGAACTAGTGGCTTTGGCGGCACTTTCAAAGCAATTTCGTCGTCTTTTATAACCGCACAAACCGAAACGGCCATCGGGTCCAGGCTAGGTTTCAGCTTTTGGCTGCCGCTGCTGGCCACAGCAACAACAACAACAACAACAAGAAAAGCAGAAGCAACATTGGCAATAGCAACAACAATGTGTTTACACTGTTGCCCACTTTAATTCAAAACAAAGAACCGTTGATTTATGTTGCCTTAGCTGCGGCAGCAGCCATGTCCACATCCCTGTGCCTGGCTCCTGGTTTAGCTTCATTTTTTCTCTCTTTTTTTGTTGTTGTATTTGTTTTGTTAGCTGGTTGCACAAAGGCAAGCTAAACCGCAGCAGTGCATATGGCCGAAAAAAAAAGCAACAAAAATGCCAATATTGTCCTTGTACAAAATATACAATATATTCGAGCCAATAGCCCGCCAATAGCAGGAGCAGGAGCAGCAACTCACCTGTATATTGGCAAGTAGAACATCGAATGTGGCAGGCAATTGGGTCACATCTGGCAACAGCAGACCGAATGGCCCCACAAATTCCTTATCGAGGCGCGCAACTGCAATGTGAAAGGGGAGTGGAACATGAATGTAAAGTTTAGCCGGTTGCGATTATTGATATATAGATGGACGCCGACCGCGTTAGCGCGGCTGGCAATGATAAATTGTGGCCAGCGCGCGCTGCAGCCTGTTGCTGGCCCAGGCCAATCCTCAACTAGCTGCCATATAAACCGAATTTTGATATATGGCTGCGACTATTGGCCGGCGCCGGGCGCCCGCTGCCCGTTGCCCGTTGGCCGCTACACTAATCAGTCCCATGTGCAGCTCCACTTTGATGCACAATTTAGAAACTGGAGCACGCCCGAGACTGGGACTCCGACTCGGACAGCGGACAGCGGACAGAGACGAGGAGTCCGCACTAAAAAGCTCGTTTATGATTGATTGCTTTGGCGGATAGAAAGGCTTTTGGATGCAGGCCAAGGCGGCGCAAGTGCAGCGCGTGCTGATCAAATACAAAATGTTGCCATGACGATAGCATAAAAACATGCACACTAGAGATGGACACGGTTCAACAAGGTCGGGAATCAATTTTTAAATTAACATTCGGTTAAAGTCCAGCTCTAAGTCTAGATATCTGACCTAATAGATCGCTCTGTCCGCCTTGATGTGGCTGTACGGAATCACGTACGATATGCCACGGAGTAAAGCACGGGCCATGCCCAGCCCATCTCTAGTGGACACCCACACCCGCTCTGCGTTGACATGAAGTCATGCTCAGATATGAACTCACCCGGCCTGTGGGCGCGTATGTGCTCGTTTATCCAGAATCTATCGCTTTCCTTTGGTATGGCAACAATATCCGCTGCACAGACAAACTCATTTCCTAATAGACGGCGCATTATCTCGATATAAGCCATAAAATCCGGCATTGTCAAGACGCCAGCTAAAAGAGAGGCAAGACCAAGAAATAAGATAAATGAAATAAACACATCTGATGCAATGGCCAAAAGATGCACAGCCAGCCACAAAAACCGATACGACTAGGGTCATACATACTATACTATATATTTATATATGTATCTGTATACACATATATATATATATATATTTGAGCACGTCTGCAGAAGTACGTACAAAGCCAGAGCAAAAGCCAGCCAAGCGGGCAATAAGCATCGCACAATACACAAATTGGCCACCAGAAGCAAAGGAACTTAGCTTGCTTTTGGCAGTGGCTTCTAAGAATTGGGCAGCTATTCCTATACCCTGTGCCGAATAGAGTACAGAGTATTATTGAGCAGTGACTTTGTCATATATATGCATCTAGGTAGAAAACAGTTTGTCGATCTGTCCATTTGCTTGTCAAGAGAACATAGGCTAAGGAAGCACGGATCGGATCGTATAGATCTTATAGGGAAGATCAAACAATTCACTTTTAGTATGAACATTTGTTTTTTTAAATATTGTAAGAGCCAATCAATACTGATTTAGTTAAACCTTTAACTTTTGGTAAAAGCATACTTTTTGTTTGAATTACTTTTTCGTATTTTACGATATCTTAACAAATCGGACTATGTTGCTCTTATAGGATATGCCAGGTTAAGGCGTATGCCTTAAAAGGGTATCTAAGTTTCGGCAAGCCGAAGCCGTGCTCTTGTTGTTGTTGTTGCTGCTGCTTTTGGTTTACTTGGGGTGTTTGAAGTTGCACGCAACCATTTCCTGTCCAAAAGTAACAACAATAACAGCCCAACATGCATATAGATTGTATATGTGTTTATATATATATATATAAATATATGTTTGTGCAGGAGCCAACCTTTTGCGCTTGCCGCCTGCGTTGGGTCGGAAACGCTGGGCTGTACTTCCGGCCCGGCTGGGACGGTCGTCGTCGACGGCTGGCTAGTGTTTTGTTGGGCCTGTGCTGGGCTCGGTGAGAGCGGACGCCGACTGCTGGATATCATTTTTGGCAAACGTAAAACTTTTTTAAATTGCGGCAATGCCAGCACCAAATTTGCATTACCCTCCGCCCGATAGATCAACTCAATTTGGCTCACCTCCATCTGCGCGGGCATGTGCAGCAGCGCGTTTAGAGTCTTAGCTGCTCCTGGCTGTTCTGCCGGAGGAGTAGACGGCGGAGCAGCTGCAGCAGTTGTCATGACTTTTGCGCGGGTGTTTGCGGTTCGTTGGCGTTGTCAAAATGCAACTGACACGGACGAGAGTCTCTGTCCGCTGGCCAGCCCGGCGCGGCCCGACCCGGCCCACTGGCGCGCCAGTGTTGATGATTTTGCCGATTGTGGCTTGTTGCGGTTGCAGATTTTGTGGTTAGTTGTTATTGTTGCTGTGCGGTGCCCTCTGGCTGCAGCTTGGCACGTTTGTTGAGCTTGGTTGTTGTTGCAATAAGATAATCCGCATGCCAGCCAAATGGCGCTTGTTTCTATAGAAATTGCTGCCTGAAAGAATCTTTAATCAATTGGCTTACATATCAAAATATGCGCTGCAGTTGTATATTTACGAAATTGAACAGCTGCTGTAATTAAATTATTAAATAAATCGCGGCTAACACGAAAAGATCACAAAGCTGGCTTAGCAGCGCACAGCACAGTGTGACCAGACTTTGTACTGAGCAGCAGCTATTTGTGGCGGTCGGCTGATAATCGATCAAGCACAAAAATACCAACTCTTGATATATGCCAGTCGCAAGAGTGTGACCATAGCGTGCGTGGCACAAAAGCGCACATTTTAAATCACATACAAAATTAAATTACACATAAATATATGTATATAGATTTTTACTATTTTATTTAATTAACTGCCATTTAAAATTTAGTTTTTGCGTATGTATTGACCTCTGTCCGTTTGTATCAGTGTGTGGCCGCCAGCATTAATGACTTGCGTAGCTATAAAAATGAATAATTCAATTAAAATAATTACACTTCTCGTATACTATATGTATATATTACCAGCGTCCGCACTAGCCAGAGCCGCGATGAGCGCAAAAACAAAGCCGCAAATCTTTAGACAGTTCATGTTTCTTTCTATCGGATCAATTGAGACAATATGACAAGCGATCGCAACGAGCTGCGCTTTTATAGCCGCAAGCAAGGCGCGAGAGCAACAAAAACTGAGTTGGAAATTCCAGACCGAGTTTTTATTTTCAATACGTAGAAAAAAATACCCAAAGCCCTGAACAACAACACTGCTGATAACTCAAACTAATACTTGTACCAATGTTAATAAACGCATAAATGCACTTGATTTGAATGTAGGTTAGCTGATTTACTAAGATAATACGGCATAATTGCTATAAATGCATATTATTATTATCTAGTACTATAGCATTATAAGTATTTAAGGCCGCATGCTAAAGGACTTAAGGACTTGGAAATGCCGAATTACCAGCCCTGAGTTTTGTCATATTCTAGAGTAATTGGGGACTAGAAGTGTTCGGTCAGAAAACCCATTTAAATATTTATATGTTTTTTTATTAAAGATACAGGAAGATTTGAAGATGATCTACCAGTTAACCTTTTCTCAGCATAAAATAATTATGGAATATTTAAACTCTGTTTGCATTTGAATTTTATGGAATAATAGACAAACTATTATTGCCCATAATAGAAACGTAATGTCTCTCAGAATTACGCTTAAGTCTCAAACAGTTTTTAGTTCAGTTTGAATATCAACAAACTGCTGATAGGCCAGGGGTATTAAGTAGCTGCACTCGCACACGATCTTTTTAACCTGCGTAATTCCATTTTGATAGGAATTTCCCGAGATCAACCGCAGTGACAGCAGCCGGCCGCAGCAGCAGCAGCAGCGGCAACCTGAGCTGCTATAAAAGATCGACTCGGCTCTCAGTTGGGATCAGTATCAATTATACAAAGCAAACAGTCAATCAATATGAAGATCTTCCAAGCTGCTGCCCTATTGCTGGCCATGATCGCCGCCCTCGCCAGCGCTGAGCCGGTGCCCAAACGTGAGTTGAACATTTGTTGACAATTCAACGAACATAATTTCTAATTATTATGCAAATTTTTCAAATATCTTTACAGCTGGCACTGTGCTGATTCAGACTGACAATACGCAATACATTCGCACCGGCTAAATTTAAAGATTAAATAATTTTAAAATAAAAACGGAAATGTTAACAAACTAACAAGACAAAACTAAAATGTTGTATTTATGTTCAGGATTCTTCATTTCCAGCAATTGCTAGACAATTCATTTGCAGCACAACGAATACTAGATGCTCTAACATTCAAATTTTATGGAGATGGAATTGAAATCTTTGATTTCAATACGGGCAGACAGACATGTTTCATGTTTGCCTCGATTAGGAATATATCTATAATATATGTATATATTCGCTTTGCAAACGTGACGTCATAAGCCTTAGTTGGCAGGTCGCCGGTTCAAGCTCGACAGCAACATTTAATTTGTGTACTTGCTCATTTGATTTGTTATCATTCGCAAAGTACAAATCAGTTGTCATAAATTAAAGCAAGTACGAGCGCAGCTCTTGCATATGATTATTTTATTTACTTTAACAATATTATAATACCCTCTGTTAGGGTATTCAGTAATTAGATGCAACAGTTGTTTTGCTCAACAGTTGACAAGAAATGAATTAAACTATTATTTGATTTCCTGGAATTTGTATTTCGCTTAACAGAAACCAGTTCCAAGCACGTGTTTACTCTAATGGATTCTACGAAGGCAATAAGGCAAATTGACGGCCCATTCATAAACTTTTATGTAACGGGAAACAGTTACAATAATAATATATATATGTAGAAAGATTTGTATAAAGGACAAGTTACATTGACTATGACAAAATTCAAGAGAATTATATTGTTTGAGATTAAAGTAAAAAGTTACATATACTATAAAAAATACAGGAAACTAATTTCTTAAGATTAAAGAGATGAACTTGAAGCTAGATAGAAATTCAACAATTATATTAACTATACATATATATAATAAAAATATAATATAATTAAAAAACGTTGACTTTTATAATCATTGTTATTTAAAAAAAAAAAACTAAATATTTTGTCTTATCATTAATCTTTAAACCTCAATACTAGAAACTATCTGCAGCTTTTGAAGTAGGGTAGGGTATTCCATAGTCGAGTCAAGTCTGCATACGCACATACTTTAAGAACTTTTATTAGAAATGATCAGAAATACTTGCCACTTATTTAAGTGCACAACTTAATTTTCCATTTCAAGAGAAAAACTTAATACTTTTAATGTATCTAAAGCTTAGAGTATTTCTAAGTCGAAACCCGTTTATAGATTAGCTGTGTCTGCTTGCATTACTAATACGTAATTAGACTGATGCTGGAAACGGGTTTTCGCATCAACTTGTTATCAGCCAAGTTGACATTGTTGTTGTTGTTGTCGTTATTGAATTGATTTGATAGCGCATAAAGCTGGAAATGCCCCGAGACGGCTCAGCGACATGCATGCTAAGGTCTAGTCGCTTGTTTACCATATAATATATATACTAAATATATGCACTGTGTTGGAAAACTGAATTGTTGGAAGTTAGTTTTAGTTGCTTGGCTTGCTAGAATGCCGCCGGCTTGCATGGAAGTTTGGACTGCAGCTAACTGAGAACCGAGAACTGAGCGCCGACAGAACTGGGCTCTGTTCGGACCTCAAAAAATAGACGCCGCTCATATTTAAACTGTGCGAAACTTTAAACAATTTCACCAAAAGAGCGAAAACTATTCGGTTGTCCTGTGGCTGCCGCTTTTCCGGCTCTGCCATTGTTTCACTTTGAGCCGTGCTGTCCCCGCCCTCTGTGTACTACTCCATTTTGTATGCTTCCTTATATCAACAATTATTTGAAACTTTTACCGCAAATATTTCCTTGGCTGGTTTTACGCCTGAAATAAATTGTAATAGCAGTTGCCTGGTTAACAGCTCGTATGACTGGCGGCGACTTTGCGGCGGCGGCAGCCTCGGCTGCCCACTGGCTGCCAATTTCTTGGGCAGCCCAGCCCAGCCCAGCCCGGCTCGGCTCGGCGCAGTTCTGGTCTGGCACAAGCTAATCCTTTTGATTTTCAACTGCACAAATTCCAGCTAACAACAATTTATGTGCCCAGCCCCTGCCCTGACTGGCAACAGTTGCTGCGGCAACAGCCATGCCGAGCAGTCAATAACCAGGCTTGACTGTAGCCATTGTTTGGACTGTGTGTCTGTGTGTCTGTGAGTGTGTTTGTGTGTGTGTGTGCTTGCCACAAAGCACATTGGCTCGTGGAATTTGCAACGTTTACGCTGGAGCATTTGCGCTGGCGGGCAACCAGACCAAGTGCCAGCACCCACTTTCATCTAGTATCAAAGTGAATTTTGTGGCCATGGGAATTATGAGGCAAAAAGTCGAATACGCCAGGCTATAGCCAAATGTAATCAGAATCAGGCGCAATCATGTCTATGACCGCGCCCACTTCTATTCCCGTTTATCCCAGAGCGTTTATTGGAAATTAATTTATACGTTTCGGCCGTTTCGAGTATTTCGCTTTTTGGCTCAAAATCCAAATGAGTGGGAACTCCCCTTTGCCAAAATGTTCCGAATGGGTTTTTATTTTCTTTTTAACTGCTGCAAATCGAAGCCCAAACTGAATTTGACTATGCGGCTCAAATGCATTCCCAGACACTTCCCAGAACACACACACCTCAATTGACCGGGTTTTTTTGCAGCCCGTGATAAGAGCGAGAGCTCGGGCAAAGCCCGCACGTCGCGAGCTGCTGCGATTGCTGCCGCTTTTGCGACTATAAAAGCAGCTGCCGGAGCTTGTTCAAGATCAGAGTTGAAGAGACAACGCTTTAGCACAAAACCAATTAAAACAATCAACATGCAATTGATCAAGATCTGCGGCTTTGTTTTTGCCATGATTGTGGCCCTGGCCAGCGCCGAGCCAGAACGTAAGTACAAGCATCTTTATAAAATCTTTAGTTTGTTTTAACACATTTTCTTGCTCTATTTACAGCTCAAGGCACGCTGCTGATACAAACCAACAATGCTCAGGGCATTTTCACGGGCTAGAAATGTTACAAAGAACACAAACATACCTTAAAAATATCTTTTGATCTAACTTAAACACAAACTTTCCTTAAAAAATGACATTAAAAACTCTTAAAACTTATCTGAATGCAATTATTTCAATTATTCTACACTTAAACTTAACGCTAAAGTCTAAACATGGTTGGGTAGAGAATTGTTTCGTATAGTTCTGAACAGCGGAAAGTCGCCAGTTCAAACCCAGCAAGAGATCCCCTTTAAGACGTAATAACATCTGAGCATCGACTGAAGAGAAGAGAGCCAGAGCACCAAATGTTTAATAAGAAATATTCCAACTAAATTTAATTTCTAAGCAGCGGACTAGCAAACGGAATGTCGCCAGCTCAAATCTAGCAACAATTTTCGAATTTCAATCAACTATGTGTAATTTCTTTCTTTGATGTCTTCTATGAGAAAAGGGTACAATAAACGCTGAATCACAACTGAATCCATCTTCGGATACTTTTATTCAATTCCAACATAACCAGCGTAAATCATAAAAATATATATTTAGTGTAAAACATAAATTTAAAAAAAGAGTAAATGAATTCTTTTAAAATGAACCCAAGCTAACAATTTAATGCAACACAGCGATCGCCCAGGGGCTGCTTCTTGCGCGCATTAATCGCAATCCGACAGCCCTGCTCGTCGCAGAGGGCGCCGAACTGGGCCAATTGTTCGGCGCCAATGTGGAAGATGCGCGGACAGATGGCCCACTGGCTGGGCAGAACGACGTTGCCGTTGGCATAGGTGCCGCGATAGGTGTAATAGTCCTGATTGAAGCACCACATCAGGGTGGCCAAATCGAATGGTGGCAGCTCAATGACCGAACCGGCGCGCCGTATGGCCCACAGGTTCTCGACCACCTGGTCCAGAAATTGGTTTTTCTGGTGTGTCAGCGCGAACATATAGGACACGGTCAGGTACTCGTATGCGGCATCGGGCATATTGGTGGCATGCAACACCTGCATCTCCATGGCATAGCTGCGCGAGTCTATCGAATGCTCCGAGGCGCCCCACTTGAAGATCGCCTCCACAAAGTAATAGTTGCCGGGCAGCGTGCCGCCGCTTATAAAAGGCGTACACTCCGGCCCGCAGGAGATGCGCATTATCACCGTCTTGCCATTATTCTCCAGCAATATGGCTGGGGGCAGCTCATCGTAGCTGTACCACTGCAGCGCCTCCACGTGATCCATCCGGAAGACACCGCGTCGCGCAATATCGATGGGCGATGGCTGACGCTCGATTAGGCTCTTGCGCGGCTTTGGCTCGCACAGATTGGTCAATATAATGCTGGCCGATTTCACATGCACTATGAACACCAGCGCCATAATGCAGCTAACCAGCCCCATAAAGTAGTTCGACTCATAGGCATAGTCCATGGCCCCGGCCACATTGGTGGAGAGACTACTCCAAAGGTAACTCACCAAATCAAGCAGCATATTCTGTTGTTTTGGCTTGTTAGCTAAATCGAAAATAATTGAGTATGTTAGTCAAATGTTAAATGCGTTGCCTACTTCGAGTTAAAATACGTGAGTACGCTGTAAAGCCTACGGAGAGTATTTGATTGAGTAGCCCACTGAGAGTATTACACACAGCAAAAAGGGCGGACCTTTAATTAAGTTATTTATTTATGAGTTTGTTGTACCCAACTAGGAGATACTCGACATCTAGCTGACGATATAGACCACCACAGGCTCTCTCACACTATGTATGGGAAATGCTTCCCTAATTAACTTCAGATCTTTTGTATGAAATCTGGAGTGCGAAATATGGCATACAAAAGTTTGTGCAAAGTCCAAGGACATACGTCTCAAAATGAATTGAAACAAGCGAAGTATCGGAAAAGTTGGATACTTATAATGCTGAACCTACCACCTAAATTTCGCTTTGTAGCTAATATGAGCATCGAGTTATAGTAAAAAAAAACCCAATTTTAATATCGATTCTTATCGATTTTGTAGTATAAGCACTCGATAACTTAAAATAAACTTTATCTGGGCGGGCAACTGGAAGATCTGCATTCAAGATTAAAGATTTAAGTCTCTCTAGAGCCTAAAAAATGATCATACCGTTGGCTAGGGGCTGGGCAAAGACGATTTCTGTTTGTGAGAGTCATTTTCTCAACTCTCTACACAAATATTGTGAATAAAGAGAGCCAAAATGCGAGATATTGCCCATTTGAATTGTGAATAAAGCCAACTTGAATCTAATCTTCATTTGCATTTTAAAACAAAGAGAAATGAAGTTATAAATGATATGAATCGACGCACAATTTTCGCCGAAAAAACTTAATATAATTCCAACATATTTTGCAGTGTACTAAATTAGTGAAGCACACAGAATATTGCCCTGAATTAGCCAGCTGCATATGGGCCATGAGTTCATGAAAGCAGCTTTGTTGTGAATGATCGATCAATGGGGCACGAGCTGTTGGTGCCACAAAGCGAGCAGTGCACCTGAATGGAAGCTGGCATGCGCTTTATAGGCGACTGGACAAATGCGAGCTGCTGGGGCTGTGCTGCACCTGAATAAATCGGCCATTTGAATGCTGACCTGACCTGCAGCATGATAATATGCAATTGAAGGCTAGCAACGGGCTATTGACGGGGCCCATGCTGAGGCCATGCAGGCTTTCAAGTTTTGTCGGCCCAAAGTGAGCCATTTAGTGAAAGACCCTTGGCTTAGCCATAAACCAGATGCGATAACAATGCACAGCATACACAGACAACAGCCTGCCAGCAACTTATATAATAAATACCTGGCAGACGCAATGCACAACAGGCACGAGTCCTGTCGCCCCCCTGCATCCTGGCTGGCAAACTTTTCGGACGCGTGCTTCATAAAATAGTCATAATGCATGTTTTTGTGAAACATGAGTTGGCTTCAGCTAGCTGCCAGCGTAAGCTTTCGGGCCATCTATGGCCTATTTGGGCATAGGTTAAAACCAAACTCCGTATATTAATACTCTGCACTCATTGAATATGAATGCAAAGGGCATATTCGCATTATGCAAATGTCTTTAATAGGCAGGAGGCATATACATATGTATTCCTGAGCAAGACGAGGAGCCGAGTGGTTTACAGGCGTAAGGAGTTTATCATTGTGTTTCGATATCTCCACTCATATTTTAATCGATTTTAAGTCAAAGATTCTTCAGTATAACTTGCAGACTAAAAGCTTCATGCACAAGATTAAGAATATTTTAAGCTTTAGATACCTTATTTTATGTAAGAGAAAGTTGTCATGTTTGTCACAGCTGCCTGGCCCTAGCATGCTGGGTATCTACTAGTCGTGCACAACCGACTTAACCACTCGCTTAACTTGTTTGCCATGTAATTATACGTGCACAGGCAAAAGGCAACAGGCGCAGAACAGTCGGTGTATGCGCTCTTAAATGTATTAGAAAGCCCATTAAAAGTTTCGAGTCGCTCAGCGTGCAAAAACCAAACTGAAATTGCATTGGGATTTGCTGGCGAGAGTCTATTAAATAATCAGCTGTTGTATCTGGCTAAAGCTACAGGAATTTCGCAGAAAAACACCAAGTAGAGGGAAGAATATAAGGAAGCGCATGAGCCCAAAAGTATGCAAATAAAATGTGTTTTAGCTAAAGAGTTTTCGTATTGAATATTTGAAGAGTCTTAAGAGTAAAGATTTACTTAATAGATTACTTTGTATTTGAGTCGGATCGCAGCTCCCTTTCCATAAGTTCGTCTATGGTAGGGTAAACGGTGGGGTCGGGTTTGGTCCATTTTATCAATTTGATAGCAAATCTTGATTATTCTCAATTATTTTGTCTTTAAACAAGCAGTCAAACACTTTACAACACTGCGAAATCTATGCCACAATATATTCTACTCTTTAAATAAGCAGTCAAACACTTTACAACACTGCGAATTTAAGCCACAATATTTTCTACACTTTTTAATAATCAGTCGAGCACTTTACAACACTGCAATGTTAAAGCACAGCTCTGATCCACAATATTTACTGCTTTTTTTTTTGGAAAGCAAAGCTTGCTTCTGCTAAAACTCTGTTAATTTGTTCTAAATACAAACCGATGCTATTCAAGAAGAAAATTGTTGCGGTTAATGGTAGTCAAAAACACACGCGCACACACACACACACAAAAGCTGCATAGAGTTTGCCAGAAAAAACCGCAGCCGACGCTTGCAATTGACAGGCTTAAGGTTATGAGCCAGAACAGGTGGTTGCAGAGCCTGTGTGTGTGTGCGTGTGAGTGTGTGTGTGTGTGTGTGTGTGGGTTAATGGGGCGACGTCAATATAACTGCTGTGCAGTAATTAAATTGAAACCACAGCATGTAAACAACAACAAAACACAAACCAAAAAAGAAAAAAACGCGCTTTACAAAACACAAAGCTAAGCCGGCAGGAATGAAGCGAAAAGGCGAGTGGCAAGGGAGTAGGGGGGTGGGGGGTTGGAGGAGGAAAATGATTACCTGCCAGTGTAAGTTTATTTATGGCTGCGAAAGCAAGTCATAAACAGCAGTAAACGCAGGCTGCAGGGGACGGGGCGGGGCTGATGCAGGCAGAGGTTAGTTGCACACGCCCATTTTTTTCAGTGGGTGAACGGGGTGCAGCTAGCCACCTCTGGGGTTTTCGCATCAAGTTTTAACTCGGCTGCCCAACTGCCTGCCTGCCTGGCCTGTTTGCCAGGCGATAACTTTTGACTTGCAAAGCACAAATATTGTTGAGTGCGTGTGTTTGCACACACACACACACGCACACAGAGAGAGAGAGCGAGAGAGCGAGAAAAATTTAAATATAGGCACAACTTAATATTGAATTTATTATGTTTGTTGCCCAGCTTTTTGGATACTGTGTGTTTGTGGATACTGTGTCTGGCGCGTTATTTTGCACTTGCAACAGGCAAAACAGAAAACCGCTTGCAAATTATTTTGCAGGGCCCCATTTTTATACCCTGAGCCCATTCGAACGGGCAAGAAGTGTATATTGGTATTAAGTGTAAGAACAGACGGAAAGAAAGCCGAAATATATATTCTAACAGAACTAGAAAAGGCATATTTTTAAAGCTAATACCATATATGCATGTTGTCATACTTAAGCTCTTCAATTTTTGAAAAGATCGGACTATAAGCACCGAAGTTAGTCAAGATTACATTTCCCACAGATAGTAGGGGGCAAAGGGAAGAGGCCCGGGGTATGTGTGTGCTGCTGGTTATGCAATTATAAGGGCAGCTTTTCTCGGCCAACAGGGTATCTCTTAGTTGAGCACTCATATTACTGTGTTGTTTTTGTTATTGCAGCGCAATGCTGGCTTTTATCGCAGCAAACTTCTCTTAGCCAAGTTAACAGCTGCGTGCGGAATAAGTTTCTGAATTATGCCAGCAGCAACTTTTGCCATTATTCATGTGTTCGCTTCATGGACTCACCTTTTGATTTCCCCAAAATAACAAACCGGGCCCA